GAAAGGTTTGTTTTTAATATTTTATGCCAGTGTGAAGAGAGGCATGAAGAAGGATTCATACACAATCTCCTGCAGAATTTCAGTCTTTGTTATTGTATTCTCTTCAGGAAAGTGAGATCAATGAGTTCTCTTTGGGGATTTTGCAGAAGAACAGTAATTGACCAAAAGTGAAATTTTCACATTGCAGTGGTGAGCCCATGAGAGGGCTATAAAATGGGTGTGGGGAAATGTAAACTGGAAGTTTTCTTTTAAAATGCAAAAGAAAATACTAAATTCCAGTATATGTAATGTGGGAGGTATTATTTTTGTGCATTAGGTGTTAACATACTGACTATTTCTTATCTTTTATTCAAAATTGAGCAAGTGTGCTTCCAGCAGAGGCTAAAAGTCTAATCTATTAATTTTCTTGGTTTTCTTCTTGATTTTTTCTATGCTATACAAACAGTACTATTGAGAGGGGAATACAGATCCCATCAAAGGCTGATGGATACTCAGCCTTTTCTGTGGAGTAGCCACACATATGTGACACTTCCATGTTAGTACCTTGAGGTCACAGTAGGCCAGGGATCCTTGTCATCTTTAGCCACATATTAGAGTCACATGGGAGCATTTTAAAACTACAGATGCTCAAACCACACCCCAGGCCATGTAGGTGAGAATCTCCAGGTGTGAGTTCAAGGCGTTCATCTTAATTGAAATCTCACCAGGTGCTTATTACGTGGCAACAGGATTTAGAGATACTAAATGGACCAGCCCAATTTCCCATCATTTTCTTCCCTTTCCCCATATATCTCATGATTGGCTTTGTTCCCAGTGGTTCCATGGATTGTAGCCTTCTCCCTGACAATTTTAGTTAAATCTCTCTCTTATCAATTGGGCTGGGCCAAAGCAAAAACTGTCATGTAGACAGATTCTTGTCTGTCATCTTGTGTATGCATAAAGCTGGTCCTATGGTCACTTTTCTCAATATTAATTCATAAAATGCTCTCTCATATGCACTGGCCTCAAGATGCATCTGACTTGCATTTTAGACCCTTCACTGGACTTGTAGAAGTGGAAATGAGAATAAAAAGGAGAGAGGTTGCAATGGTGAACCTCATGATGTATGCAGTTTTGAAGTCCTGCCCTCTGCACGTGCTTTAGAACTGATGTCCCTTTAGAATGTCATAAGTGTTCTCCGGTTAACGTCAGCTCAAGTGAGTCCATGAGGTGAGAACACTGAGACCCTGACAACTCGATCCCCATTGACACTAGGCTGCACATCTGGGGCTAAAGACTAACCTGACTCCAGGCCAGTAGGGAACCCCCACCTGTGACTCTGGTTCTCATTTTGTTTCCTACGTGGGGCTCTTTTTGCGTAGTTTTAACACTTCTCATTCAGAGGAACAAGTGATGATTAAGAGTTGACTTAGTTGGATTTCTCAAAAGAGGACTCAAAAGGAAAATCGATGTGTAAATGATGTATTAAAGCAATGATTTCTGCAGAAAGAGGCAATGGAGTTGGGGATGAAGGGAGGAAAGGTAAATTTCCCAAGAGAGTGTGTGATTCCAGGCAAACGTCCTTGTGTTCAGCAGCTTAAACTACGCACTTGGATGAGGACAAGGAGGCCTGGCTCTCCTGTGGCCATGAGAGGGACATTCAAGACACTAGAAGAAGGAATAGAGCAGAGTTCAGAGAGCAAAGAGGACATGAGGACAGAAAGGGCATGTCAGGGTGGGAGCCTGTGGGACACAGAGGTAAGACCAGACAGAGGTTAGAGCAGCTGTTGGAGAGAACAAACGGGTGAGAAAAAGCAGTGGGAGAATGAGCTGTCACCATAGACAGAGAAATAAGGAGTGCAGCTATCAGCCATAGATGTGATTACCTCTGCACCCTAAGCTTGCAGGCCAGGGAATCTGCATGCCAGTCTCCACTTGCTGAGCGGGAGTTTTCTTTTGATGATCTTCGGTTTCAGGACACTAGAGGCGTGAATGTGGCCATTGACTTGACGCCCTTGTGTGTTGTCTGCTGAGCCTTCAAGTGCATCATCTTCCAGCTCGGGAGGGTTCTTCATCCCCAGGGAGGGCTCTAAAACCAGCTCTGAAAATAAAACCACAGCCAATGGGATCCACTGGCACCCACAATCTTACTGTGACTTTCTCTTCCACCCAGTGGACATCAAATCAGGAAAGTGGCCTTGGAGAAGAAAGTCCAAAGGGTGAGGGGAAGCCAATAGAGTCACTTTAATATTTTCTGTTTTCTTGATCTTTCCCACATTACTGAGCAACGGTAAGATTGCCAGGAGTCAAAGGCATTGCCAATTCACAACAATATTCAAGAAACACAGGATTAAGAAACACAAATAGCTTCCGGGTAGATCAGGCAAAGGCAAGGAAATAGCAGTGTGTGTAGCCTATGCTTTGGGGAGAGCAGAGATTACAAGAATCAAAGTTAAATCAGAGTTGCGTTCAAATAGGAGATGGGAATAGAAGGGCCTGGCAGGGTGGCAGCCCATGTGGCACCGAGGTGAGACCAGACAGAGGTGACAGCAGCTGATGAGAGGAAAGAATCAGGAAGGCTAAAGCTAGAGAATTTACAAAAGTTGCATCATTATATGATCTACTGCATCTATATACACCCTATGTAGTATATACACCAGATATACATAGTCACACATAATAGGACAAATGATATAAATGCATATATCTGTACATGTTAATTTAAAGGAAAAACATTATATAGGGATTTGGGAGAGATTGAATGTCACAATATCATCACTGTTCTGGTCCATTGAAATGGGAAAAAAAATTAGAGACATGAGGAGAATAAGAAAGAAAAGGTGTGGGAGAAACAAATGACCTGGTAGACAGCAGGGAGAAATCACCAGGTGAAGGAAAATATTAATGAAACAAAAGGCGTTCACTCTGTCCTCTTACCTGGTGCCTGGTTCAGGCTCTGGACTCCAGGAAAGTGAGCAACAGGGAGTGTGTCTGAGCCAGTGTGGTGAGTCTTGGCTGGGGGTGTGAGAATCCACAGAGAAGCAAAGGAGAGTCCAGTGGGAAGAAATCAGTTTAAATAAGTCATCCCGGGACGTGTCAGGGACTGTGCATCCCCCGACGCTCCCTGAGCGCCTTCCATGTGTTCTCTCCATGGGCCCAGATGGTGCTCGTTATCTCACCCAACCCTTCCTCCTCCTGAGGACAGGGGTCCCCTCATTCCTCAGCCGAGGCCATCACCTGACAGATGAGCACCAGGCAGCCCCAGGGGCTCCAATAGGAGGTACTGAGTGGGACGGAGAGTGAGAATGAACACGACCCAGGGTTTTAAGGAAATCTGAGCAGAAGTGGATCCCTGTGAGACAGAAACTGAGGACATGGCCGTGGACATGAGTGGAGAATTTGAACTAAATGGAATTTCATAAAACAGACTGATGTGAACACTTTCCATGTGAAAGTTGCCCTTTTATTTCAAAAAAAGCAGAGGAAGCTGGACATGTCAGGAGACTGAGTGTGGGTCCAGGATTTACTTGTTACTGAAAGTGCCTGATAGGGGAAAATTGGCTTCATGAGGGATGGGGAAGGAGAGGAAGAAAACTGGCAGAGGAGTCTGTGTGAGAAAGGAGAGGAAGAGGGGCCCTAGAAAGCAGAGATCTTCATAACTGCTCTACCTCAGAGGAGACATCATCTGTGAAGTCACTTTCTAAGTGCAAATTGAGCAGAAAGATAAAAGGATTAGATAACACCTATTCATAGGTTTGTGGGGCAATTCTTATGGAATCAGGCCCTTTGGAAATTATAATAATTAATATTCGCAACAAAGATTGCAGGTAGATATTATTTTTCAGCTATCTCAGATGAGGGAACAGAGATGTAAATAGCAAAAAGACAAAAACCTAGGCTAAAGTCAACAAGCAGAAAGTGGCAAACCCAGAACCTTTGCTCATCTCACTGTGTTGGAGCATCATGAATTTCATCTTGACCCTGAGGTAGCACAGAGTGGTCCCATTCTCTCCTCCACCCACAGCACCGTGACCACCAACACCTGGATTAGATCTTCATGACGCCGTTTCCTTCCCTACCTTGGAAGGGCCATTGGTTCCCAGAATCAGCATTGGCTGCGAAGCTGCAGGTGGTGGAGGGGGGGCCCCGCCTGGCCAAGTCATTTCCATAGTAGAACCCTTGATCCAGCTGTGGTCTCAGACAATTGGGCGCCAGGGTGCTTGGCTCCAGCTGTGCCTGTGAAGCCTGCACCTCTGACAGGTGGTGGCTCAAGTCTCCACTCCAAGTCCCTTGGGGACAGTCTGCCTGGTTGGGAGCTAAAGGAGAAGGGGTTTCAGTAGGAACAATCTGAGTTTTCCCTTTGTTAAGCATGCCCAGAACACCCATCCCTGATGTCCCTGCTCTCAATAAAGCCACACAGTGACCCACGCCACACAGACAGACATCATGTAAATGCAGGCGATGTCACCTTTCCTGTCTGTGCCTGGGGACGCTGACACAGCAGATGCCCAGGCTGGGGTGTCCCTGAAGTGAAAAACCTCTGCTTTAGCCCAGAGGGCTTTGGATTGTCTAACAAGACCATCACGATTATTCTGTTATTATTCATCTCCTTCCTGTGCCTGGAGGGAAAGTTCTAGAGAGCCCTCAGAGTGCAGGAGAGGAGGAGCTGTTTTTCTCCCCACACAGGGTTGTAAGAAGAGGCCAAGAGTTAGAGCTGCGAGGGTTTGAGAAAGAACCACGAGAAAGGGGGCTGGGAGGCTACAGACCAAACACTAAGTGAGGCAAAATTTCTGGGTTCTGGGACATTTTGAATTCCCATTGCCTATAATGGTTTGACACTCTACCCACACATATCCATCCTATTGCCATATAGTGGGTGTCAGCAGACAGAGGCAATGTAGGAGAGGGACCAGTCCCTTCCCAGAAATTCAGGGGCCACAAGAGCCACAGATCAGCATGTGCGGTTCCTTAGGAAGGTCACAGAGGACACGGTCCTCACATTACCCACTGCTCCAGTGGCGTTCGGGTGGCACCCCTTAAACAAATTCTTTCCATTTCCCCAGGGAGAGGAACACACATTCTGAGTGGACTAAGAAAAGACTTCCAATGACCTCACGCCAGTCCAGGTCGGGTTCAGGACGGGGACTGGGTCTGCGGGGACAGGGTCTGCAGGGATGGGGCCTACAGGGCCGGATCCATGTGGCTGTGGGGCTCCTCTCTCTCCTCCCCTCTCCACATCCTCATTCTCTGCAAGGTTTTCTAAATTTTCTTAAAAATGCCTCAGTGTCCTCAGCTCTACCATGGAGATGACACTGCCCACTTGGAAGTGTCCCTTGGGCCCTGAATGGGTTATAGCAGG